TCGGCTACTACAGAAGAAATATCGTTGTTCGATTTACTTTTTACTTTGCTACGGCGATATGACGTGAAGCTGGTTGTCATCCTACCAAAAATGCCTTTTCTAGCACTGATTGTAGAGAAGTAACTGTCGCATGCAAACAAGTGGCAGAGGGATGAAAGATGAAAAGGTGCGATGTGTTAAATAATGAAGACACTTTTTGAAGTTTAGTCAAAGCAATATTAAAATTATGCAAAAGAGTGCAGTTCAGTTGAAGAAAGAAACTAAGTGACGACGAAAACGAATGGAGAAATACGAAGGAGTTAAATGGAACTCGATGATAGATGTACATATGTATGTATGTAAAAAACCAAGTTTAAAATCTTTCAATCAAATTTAAAATTCATAGCTTTCATTAATATTTTCATATGGAAACACTCTGACTTCTTTATTTAGCTTCACACGCACATACACATACATATGTATATTAATTTTTGAGTATTCAATAATTTTAATTTCTTTGCAATTTTTCTGCCAACTATGTATGTATGTAATTAAATATAATTTTGTATTTCCGATACAACTATGCTGGATGAGTTTTTAACGTTTTCACTTTTAATAATAATCGTATGTATGTATTTTCTTGACAGCTTTCACAATAACACATCAGTTTGATTATATGAACATATGTAAATATGTATATGTACATATGTATTGCAGATATAAGGGGTAAAGATTAACGTTTAACTTTTACCCAACTTCTTACTTAAATATGCAAATGTAAATTTGACGTTTTCACAAGATAATCTATGAAGACTTGGTCAAATAGTTAATAATCACTTTTTAAAACACAATCGCTTCGCTTCTTATGTGTTGGTGAATGTACATATACATATGTATATGATAATTAAAGCAGCCTAAGAAAGTAGAAGACGCAACGTTACTGCTCGAATTTTCCACATTGAATGTTATTAAAGCCGATCCGAATCAAGTAAAGCAGCTCAACCAACCAAGTTCCATAGACAAGAGTTTGAATGCTTCGGCCAAGTCTTAATAGCAACTGAGGTACTATGTACGGATGCTAGACCGTCTAGTGCGCATCTATGTGGAAATGTGTAAGTACTCGTATGAGAATGAATAAGTCTGCGTGTATGTATGTACATACACTCTTTGATTTTTCCAAATCGCTCGCTTCGTGTAACTCTTTTGATAGGTTTTTTGCACTACATTTCGTTCTTGCACCAACTTTTAGCAAAACGAATTAATTTTCATTATTTTATGTGGGCATACTTGCATATGTGCATATATCATACATTTTTATGTACATACGTACATATGTATATAAATATGACATGTTAAGCTGAAGAGTTACATTAGTCGTAAAGATTTTCCACTATGCAAATACATATGTATGTACATATGTGTGCGATCATTTTCAACGTATTCAAAATTTTTATTATGCAAAATTAGCATCAATCGGCTGGTTTATTTTCTACAACTCCAGTATATCTTCTATCCGAAGCGAATCCATTTAAGAGAGTGAATAAATAGTTAGGCTTAAATATGTATGTATATGTACATAGATTTTATTTACCTCTTCATTTTTATATACTTTTTATTGCAAAGAAGCACTTTTAAATACAAATATTTCTTCGCATTTGTATTTCATAGTTTGAAACTTTAAAAGATAATTAAATCCCGATTCGATTCGTTGGTTTTTAATATAATAGAAACTAGCTCATACATTTGCCGTAATCTTTTAGCTTCGTTAGATGGAAAGCGCGTCCCACAATAGTAATCATGCGCATGCGCCTTTCGACGGTTGAAGTTGCATACCCGACACACACCACATCCACCACACACACACAACAATGCAACTATGAAACCATCTCAAATGCATACACCAATGGTGATTGAAAAAAAATAAAAAAAAAATTTGTAAGTATAACTGCCTCTGGTATTAATACATTTAAAAAATACGTGCATGCATCGAATGGCCAAACAAATTTTTTTTTGTTCAAGTTTGCTACGCGAACCGTACGGTGAAAAACGCGAAATATCAGAATGACTAAAACTGTTTCTGCCACACGCGAAAAACTGGCCACGGCCGACTGCCTTTCTATCATCATCAAACAAACATGAAGCGTGACCAGTGAGTCCAAACGAACTACCGCTTACTTCAAGACACCGAATACGAATACTAAAGTTTAAGCGTCCATTCAGCCAAACACTCAAGAAACCCGTTGCCAGTTGTGCACCAAAACCAGCACAGTACCGGTCAGAGTGTTGTGCACCTTTCCTACTGCAGTCGCAACTCAATTTCATATGGGCCAATGCATTCGAATTACAGAGAGGCTGCTGCTTCTCATCGCCAGAGTTGAGTTTCCATTTATGTATTTATTAAATGAGCTTTCTTCTCACTCGCGCTATAGCCAGCCGTTGAATATATGCAGTGAAACAGGAGATTAAGTATAACTCTCTGAGATTGTCTAAATTATCTATTCTTCATTGATGAACCATCGATGTGAATAATTGTTGCTGAGAAACTCTTGTTGGTTCAATTGGACTATTTCCGATAGCATTTATTGTGTTTGTGTGCGTAAGCATGAATGCAGTACATGTACAAATGCTAGGCTTATCATACATAAGTGTGGCAAGGTCAATTTGACCCGACAAAATTAGTTCAGTAGCAAAAAATTCAACGATTTTATTGAGCATGAGGCCGTTTTTAATGAAAATTTTTGTGAAAAAAAACACAATTTACATTTTGGTAGAAGTTACAGCTGCTATTTCAGAGATCACCACATCTCCTCTTCAGACTTCTTCAACTGGGATTCGCTCCAACTACCCCAGCCGCCATAGCCAGCAGTCTACCCACTGAGNTAAACTGTTGTTGCTTTTTCCACTGCTGGGGTCGTTCGATCGAATCCCTGTTGAAAAAGTCTGATGAGGAGATCTGGTGATCTCCGGAATAGCAGCTGTAACTCCTACGAGAATGTAAATTGTGGTATTTTTTACCAAAATTTTATAAAAAACGGCATCAAGGTCAACAAAATTGTTGAATATAATTGTTATAAGGCCATAAGTAACAAAAAACGAGTAGCAAAATATTTTAAATTACTTGCATACAGAAAATTTCTGAATAAATTGATATGTGTTTATATTTCCATACAATTAAAAGCAGTGCTCGGACTTATACCACATTGCGGTAAATCTACCACTTCTTTGAGCAGCTACCAAATCTACCACCTAGGGTGTGAAATCTTACACTTACTCGTGTTTTTGAGAAGCTTTTTTTGCTCGTCATAATTTTCGTTATTTTTTCACTTAAGGCCCTTAACTTATTTACTATAAGTAAGTAGTATCTACAGAAAATTCCAAACTTAAGTACAGAAATTTCTATGGAATTTTCTGTGGTTAAATTTAACTAATGATTTAACTATACTTTAAAATTTGTAGATAAGTTATTGGCCCTAAGAGCGAACGATATTCCAACACCAAAAACTAAATATGTGATAAAAAAACTGCCAGCGCTCTCTTAACTTGCAGAAATCTTTCGACTTCGTTTGTGCTTGGGAACACTTTTTAACCGACTTCCAAAAGAGGAGGAGGTTATCAGTTCGTCGGAA